ACATCTAATATGCCTAGTTCCTGCCCACCCCGGGTGGACGGCTCTCTGAAGTTCGTGGTGATAGGTCTACAGACAGTCACACTAGCACAGAACGTCAAAATGGCCAACGAGGGGCGTAAACCTTATGACAGCGCAGACAGGTGATGCAAAACGTTTCGGAACATCCAGGTGTCGCAATTCACCTGAACGATCAGGGACGAAATGGGGTTGCGAATAAGATGAAGAATACGTTTTGTTTTTTATTCACTGACGTTTTTGTTTTGTTCTGCTTTAACATATTACAGCTGGTTTTCCCTAACAACTGCCTCTCTTTCTTGGGCCTAATCTTTTAGCTTTTTTTGCTTTACTTGTGTGTGTTTTCGCCACTCCCCATTCTTCTGTAGTTATCTCTTGTGTCGAGCTTACGATTCTTAGCCATTGGGCGTGTGAGCGTCCGTAGCTGGATTTTCTGTTGTGCTCCAATTGAGAGAGAGAGCATTCGCCCCACGTTCAAAATTTTTACGCATATTTCAAAGGGCTAAAAATAAATGTGAAGCAAATTGCAAATAATGGGCTTGGCGTTTTTATTACAGGAAAGACCTACACAGAGTATGTTCGAACTTGCCTGAGTATATCTTCTTATCTTTAGCAAGTTTCCCCATCGACAGCTAAAGAGCATGCCGCTTGACTGGTTGCATGTTCAAACCCCGTTGGCCTGGGCTGTCAGGCGTCTTTGGTGACACATTTAAAGGTACACATAAACTTTTTATGGTGTCTATCAACTCTTCATCAAAATGAAATTAGCATGATGGAATATCAGACACAAAAGAAAAAAAAAAAAAACAAAAAAAAAAAAATAAAAAAAAAAAAAAAAAAAAAAGAACAGTACACTAGATTTTGCTCTTGTGATATTTGACTGGGAGGGGACAGGATGCGAAAAAATCTTAATAGAACCTCAACAGGGTATCTTACAAGCTGAAGAATAGTCATTTTGTATTCCTCGAAGAATGGTCCTGTTCACGGTTAAACATGACGCACCGATCAGTTAATCAGTTACGCAGCCGAGTACTCGCATCTTCTGAGATAACGTAACTCACCGTCTCACGTGTGCAAGCGTTCTCTATCCGATTGCAGTCGTCCGGGGATAAACATAGAAACTGCTATGGCGTAGTAGATTTTGGCTTGGGAGATCCTGGCATAGAATTGTTCAAGAAATAACAGTGACGGGAGTTACGAGTGGCTAACGTGGCGAGTATATAGTTTCGATTAGGGCTGGATTGGGTTATTCGGAATTCCTGTAGCTGGCTCCCTCAGGCCGCTTAAATGCGGTGGTGGAAGTTGAACTTCCCCCGCCCCGACGATTACCCTTTTTAGGCGTCAGATATAGGAACCTGTCTGGACGGAGCAGCGTAAGCTACGGTTATACGACGGTTGGCATCAAATATCAGGGCGCTACGACGCGGTGTACAAACCTACCCGCTGGCGACGTCGGGTGCCTGCACCGGGTGACACACAGGCCCAATTCAGTAATCCGGAAGAGTACTGCACTGGAGGCGGTTATGCATGGGCCGTCGATGAGTATATACTAGCTATACCCGAGAGCCCGCTCGAGCAATTGTGTCGTACGAAATTTGGTGTGTTCGAAGTTTTAAGGGATTACAAGGGTCGAACGCAGAGGTGAGTTCGAAGTGATCGGAAAGTGAGTGAAGCACCGGATGTCTGTTCGCTTTTCCAACTCTTTTCCTTCGATGAAGCAGGAAGTGTCGATCTGACGTTTCAGTCTCTGGCGAGTCTACGCTGCTCTTCAGATGACAGTGATAAGGGAGACAAGTCGTCTTCCTGATAAGTGCAAGATTTGCAGGATAAAGCGTAGTGTGTGCAAATACCGACAAGAGTAGTTTTTAAAAAATCCACCCTAGCTTATATATATTATATATATATATATATATATATATATATATATATATATATATATATTATATATATTAATTATATATATATATATATTATATATATATATATATTATATATATATATATATATATATATATATATATCTATATATATATATATATATATATATATATTATATATATATATATATATATGTATATATATATATATATGTATGTATGTATATATATAATATATATATATATATATATATATATATATATATATATATATATATATATATATATATATATAATATTATGTATGTATGTATGTATATGTATATTATATATATATATATATATATATATATATATATATATATATATTATATATATATATATTATATATATATATATATATATATATATATATATATATATATATATATATATATATATATATATATATATATATATATATATATATATATATATATATATATATATATATATATATATATATATATATATATATATATAATATATATATATATATATATATATATATATATATATATATATATATATATATATATATATATATATATATATATATATATATATATATATATATATATGGAGAGAGAGAGAGAGAGAGAGGAGAGAGAGCGAGAGAGAGAGAGAGAGAGAGAGAGAGAGATGGAGAGACCAGAGACAGAGCAGAGACAGAGAGAAATTTAGAAACAAAGAAAAAGAAAATAAACAAATCTGAGATATTCTCTTCACTGTTGTCAAGATCTCACGCATTCCCCACATTGAGACCAAGTACATAGATCCGAGACAAGTATTACGTAAATAAAATTCCTTCCTATTATTTTTCATGCTGGACAAACAAATCTTAATGTAGCCCAGTACTGACCTTGAATATTGGCAAATATTTTGGCAAGACTCTTAACAAGAAAATAAGACGTGGACAAAATAAGGAAAAGAAAAACAAAAGAATGTTTGCAGTCACACAAAACAAGAATAAGATATGCTTGTAGGATGCAGCTGAGTGGGATTGATAATAATCTATAACTTGTTTTATATTTGTTGTTATTTTCTGGCGTTATATAAATAGAAAGAATGGAAGAGTTGTAAGGACTTACAGTTACGTTACATCAATCTGTTGTATTTGCTTTGCTAATCTATTCATTATAAAGCAGATTTTTTCAATAGTTGAGAATGCGTTTGGAAAAGAAGCAAGAATTTGTCATCCTATGGTCTGTTTTTGCTGTTGTCCTTATTTTTAAATTTATCATTTCGAAAATTTATATAAGTAAGGAAAAAAATAAAGGAATGATTATTACATTTCTGGTTTGGTGCTATGTTTTAATGGTTTGTTTATTAATATGAATTTCGAGTACAGAAGCTGAAGTCGAAACAGGAAATCTTTGTGAAATTACTGTCTTGTTTTGATCATCTTTAGAAACTTGGTCAACAAGCATCATCAAAAATATCCGAGGCATTATTTGAGTCATTTGAATTGTTAAGTAAATTGCATAGTAATGGAACTTAATTGATTGCCAGGGTAATGAAGGGCTGAAAGTCATTACGAAAACATGCCATCCATAAAATATTTAGGAGCAACAATCAAAAGTTCCATGTTATAACCCGCTACAGTATCTAGAACAAAGGTCAAGGGATACTAAGAACCAGGGTCAAAGGTCACCACGAATTAAGGTCGTGGGTTACAGAGGACGAAGATCAAGAGTCACCAAGAACTAGGGTCAAAAGACACCAATTACTAAGGTCAAGAATTCCCAAGAAGTAAGGTCAAGATTCACCAAGAATTAAGGTCAGTTGTTACCAAGAACAAGAATCAAGAGTCACCAAGAAGTAAGGTCAGTTATTACCAAGAAACTAAAATCAAATACCATCAAAAACTAAGATCAAGAGCACCAAGAGGTGAGGTCAAAGGTTACCAACTCTCGCGGTATTCATCTAACTGCTCGTTTGTGTGGTCAGAAACAAGGGAAAAGCTAATCTTTCCCTCTTGCTTATTTCGAATGAAGGTTCAACTTCATAAATCAAGAAATTTAATGAAACTCAGAAAATAGGTTACGTGAGAAATTAAGACAAACGCAGCACAAGGGAAAAATAAGATGTAAGAAAATTAACTGCACTGTCGTCACTTATGACCAGATTATGATAACAAGCTACCTGCTATTTCTAAGTGAGCAGTTAACGTTTCAGTAAAAAAAAAAATTAATAATCGTATAATCTGTCTCCATTGACTTCAAGCTGGATTAACGAACTGTTTATGTCGTTTTAGAACTGAACATCTGCATTGACTTTAACATTGACTTAATTTTTCATTAAAAGCAGAGGAAAATGGGATTTCCTCGTTCACATATTTCATGATTTATTTATATGTTTTTTGTTTCGTTCGGATAGTCTCATTGTTTCGTTCAAGTGTCTTTTTTTTAGATCATTGCAACACTTTCTATGTTACTCTAAAATGGATTGATATTGGAAATGATGAAAATTTATATATATAATAACTATTCACTTCTTATGCAATTGTCGCTTTTCGATTCATTCTTTATCACATTTACATTACTTGCCATGTGAAGCTATTAATTTTAATTTGTTCTTTTTGCCATGATTAACTGTGTTCGAATCTGTGTTCTAATTCCTCTTTCTCTTTTTTCATTTGTTACACAACTTTATTCATCGGCTTCTCTCTCTCTCGCTCTTTTTATGTCTCTCACTTTTTTGTTCTTTCGCATTCAGTCTCTCTCTCTCTCTCTCTCTCTCTCTCTCTCTCTCTCTCTCTCTCTCTCTCTCTCTCTCTCTCTCTCTCTCTCTCTCTCTCTCTCTCTCTCTCTCTCTTCTCTCTCTTTCTCTCTCTTCTCTCTCTCTCTCTCTCTCTCTCTCTCTCTCTTCTTCTCTCTCTCTTCGCGCTCTCTCTCTTTCGCTTCTCTCTCTCTCTCTCTCTCTCTCTCTCTCTCTCTCTCTCTCTCTCTCTCTCTCCTCCCCCCCCTCTCTCTCTCTCTCTGTCTTTCTCTGTCTGTCTCTGTCTCTCTCTATCCCTCTCTCTCTCTCTCTTACATATCATATAACTACGTATACAGTTATTCATAT